CCCATTCACTTCCAGTTAATAGCTTTCCATCTCGTGTTTGTGTGATATCTGAACGTCATATGCCTTATTTTGTCAATTGTTACGCGCATATATATATATACATATATTTATATATTACTTAAATCGTCAAAACTATGAAATTATGGTTTCAGGGTTATATATATTTATTTCCTTTATTTTGGCCCAGTAAGACTATTCTTCTTGACAGGTAATATTGGAGTGTCATTCTCACATCCACTTTATTTTACTTCGCATACATTAGTAGTAGTAGTAGTAAAAATAATAATAAAAAAAACCAGCAAATAGATACCTTAATTATCTATTCGTTGTTTGCTATTAGTGATTTCTATTTGAACATAATTGAACTTAACAGCATGGAATTTACTTACAGTTTTGTAAAAATGAAAAGTGTTGCAACTTGGTTTGAGATTGTTTTTTTGTTTTGTCAGATTACTTTTCCTTGGTTTGTTCATGTAAAAGATTATAGTAATAATGAGAGATTATAATGCACAGTGGTAGTCTTTATTGTTATTTAAAATGGGAAAACTTGAACCCACTGAACAGTCTTCTTTGTAAGAGAAATCTAACACTTCATAAGGTTAAACCAGAGATTTATGATTAACAGGGAAGTGTTCAGCAAGATGGAATATATTGCTGATTGATTGATATGAGTAGCGGGTGGGCCATTTACGACTTAGGCCTCTGTAAGAAGTGAAGTGGAGTAATGCTCTTGTCCACGTCAAGTAAAATACTAAGTCGTGTTATCCTGGAGAGAATAAAAGATACACTGAATGCAGAACTCCGACCGCCGGAAGAAGATGGATTCAAAAAGGGTAAATCATGTGCGATCATATTGAAAATCTTGCATTATCATCTTCGAACAGAACATAAACTGGCAGTCAAGTCTGTACCTCAGTTTCGTCGACTTTGAAAAGGCCTTCGGTAGCGTTAACCACGAAGTAATTTGGAGAATACTTCAACACTATGGAGTGGAGTGCCCCAAATCTTTATCAACCTCATTCAACAGGTATATGACAATGCCACGTGTCAGGTGACCATCAACGGGAAAACCTGTGAGGTGTTTGAAATTAATACATGGTAAAGCAGAGATGTCTACTACCGACGTTTCAAAGTCAATGAAGTTGAGATATACAATGATGGGAGGTAGAGTTTAAATTTGATCTTCACATGATTTGCTTTTCTTGCTAAAACAAAGTGAATTAGTCAAATGTTTTCACAAACAGTATTCACCTATTAAGGTATTCAGTCAGGTTTTTATTTTTAAGGTAAACGATTAGTTAAGCATATAAAAGAAAAGAAGGCGTTCAGCGAAGAGACTCTTTTCGGCGTGTGTACACACACACACACACAAACAAAATTGTATAAATATGCGATTGTACAGCTCAATGAATGAATTCGCCGAAAAAGAGTCTCTTCACTGAACGCCTCCTTTTCTTTTATATGACTGAATGGGGATTAGTTAGGCTTAGGGTAGTAGAGCTTTTGATGCATAAAATTCACTGTTTCCTCATTGCTAAGACGTGTTTCCCATTCGAACAACTAGACAGTGTAAAATTTAAACATAGTCAGTCAACCTTTCACCATCTGAAATTCTAGGTAGTGAAGGTTCAACATTTTGAATTGAACTGAATACATCTTTAAAGTTAAGTGAGCTTTTTCAATCGTTTGAACCTAAATGTTGAGCTTCTCCTAATAGGGACTCTTCAGTGATATTATCTAGAGGATGGTGACTATCAGTGGAACCGAGGGCCTGAGCATTTCATACTTTCTGCGATTCGTCAGCCGAAAATACCTGCAGTCCCAATGGTTGACGATATTCCTACTGAGACACGTTTCAAACTCCAAAGCGTTATCCACGAAAACGACTTGAGCCACAAGAGCTGCCTGCTATGCAAAAGGAAATACAACATGAATACACTTTCGCCTAAATTTATTAACACATCAACCTTTGAAATGGAAACAAAAAATAATATATAACATGAAAATTCATCAAAACAGTTCTCAGTAAGATCACAAATTGTCATCTGAATATTTACTTCTTTTAAATAAGTGGAAACCACTGGGGAATTTTCATCTCAAACTGTGTAATTTACAAATATCGCGAATTTGATTCTACGTATTACCAGTTCACTCAACTAGCTAACCAGGATTCGTATCTATTGGGGTGGTCCAGTTGTATTCACTGACAATCTCAATCCCAAACGAGTAGAGCAGAAAAGTCTGGTATTCGGAGCACTGGTGTAAATATTATTATTATTGTTATTATTATTGTTCCCTTGGGTTCTAAGAGGCGCATGGGGCTTCAACAACACATTTCCACCTTTTTTCTATTTGGTGCTCTCCTTTTCATCTGGGTGTACGATTGACTATAATCCATTATATCCTCCTCGCATGATCTCTTCTATATCACCTTCGAAGAGCACACTCATTGCTTCCCACTGGGGTTCCATTCGAGCTATGACTTGGTGCACAGTTTCATTCAACGATCTCCTCAGCTAGTGCCCAATCCATCTCCTTTTCCTTCTACATATTTGTTTAGTGATAGATTCTTGGTTGGTTTATTCCCACAGTTTCTTGTCGCCAATTCATTCTGACTATCTGATCCTCAATAATGGAGCGAAGGCAGCTGTTGATAAAAGTCAACAATGGCTTGTTGAAATGCTTTTCGTGACACACTCGCCAAGTTTATGACCCATATAGACTAAGTGACTTCCTATTTGTGTGACTGGTGCTGGTTGTTGTTGCTGTTGGTTGGTTGGCTATCTTCACCAGCCTCTTCTTCTCTGGATTCACGTGGAATCCTGTCGTAGCTGTTAGCCTTTCCTGCCAGTTTGTTAGTTTTCGCTTGCAAGTCTTCGAGTTTGTGTGACACGAGAAATAAATCATCCGTGAAATTCAGATCTTGTAAAGTATTCTTTATCGGTCCATTGTATTTCTGTCTTCCCTTTCCCCATGTTCAGTGTGACGCATAATCCAGTCCCCTACAATTAGTATTTATATTTATTTATATTATTTTTTGTTTCCATTTCAAAGGTTGATGTGTTAATAAATTTAGGCGAAAGTGTATTCATGTTGTATTTCCTTTTGCATAGCAGGCAGCTCTTGTGGCTCAAGTCGTTTTCGTGGATAACGCTTTGGAGTTTGAAACGTGTCTCAGTAGGAATATCGTCAACCATTGGGACTGCAGGTATTTTCGGCTGACGAATCGCAGAAAGTATGAAATGCTCAGGCCCTCGGTTCCACTGATAGTCACCATCCTCTAGATAATATCACTGAAGAGTCCCTATTAGGAGAAGCTCAACATTTAGGTTCAAACGATTGAAAAAGCTCACTTAACTTTAAAGATGTATTCAGTTCAATTCAAAATGTTGAACCTTCACTACCTAGAATTTCAGATGGTGAAAGGTTGACTGACTATGTTTAAATTTTACACTGTCTAGTTGTTCGAATGGGAAACACGTCTTAGCAATGAGGAAACAGTGAATTTTATGCATCAAAAGCTCTACTACCCTAAGCCTAACTAATCCCCATTCAGTCATATAAAAGAAAAGGAGGCGTTCAGTGAAGAGACTCTTTTTCGGCGAATTCATTCATTGAGCTGTACAATCGCATATTTATACAATTTTGTTTGTGTGTGTGTGTGTGTGTACACACGCCGAAAAGAGTCTCTTCGCTGAACGCCTTCTTTTCTTTTATATGCTTAACTAATCGTTTACCTTAAAAATAAAAACCTGACTGAATACCTTAATAGGTGAATACTGTTTGTGAAAACATTTGACTAATTCACTTTGTTTTAGCAAGAAAAGCAAATCATGTGAAGATCAAATTTAAACTCTACCTCCCATCATTGTATATCTCAACTTCATTGACTTTGAAGCGTCCTTAAAAAACGTTGACGAGGAAGTAATTTGGAAACTACTTCAGCACACCAAAGTGTTCCAAGTCTTTATCAACCCCATTCAACAGCTTATTGACAATGACCCGTGTCAAATGATCTACAACAGAAAACTCAGTGTATTCACTGAAGTGAAGATTGAAATAGCACAAAGCCGCCAGTTATCACTGATGATATTTCAAATCGTGGTAGACTGGATTATACATCAGACTTTAGGGAGCGAGAATACAGGAATATGTTGAACCGACAAGAAGACTCCAGAAGACCTGAACTTCGCTGACGATTTATGTCGAATATCAATTAAATTCGAAGATTTACAGGAGAAAACCAACAAGTTTGTAGAAGACGCAGGCACTTAAGGCAGGATTTCAAGTGGACACAGACGAGACAGAGGTGATGCAGATGACCAGCCTACAATAACCAGTACCAGTCAACATCAACAGGATAAATTTGTAAGAGTTTACTTCCTTCACTTATCTAGGAAGCTTTGTTTCAGCCACAGGCGGAACGGATGAAGATGTTGAAGCCAGAGTTGGAAGGGCAAGGTGCACCTTCATCACTCTAAAATCAGTGTGGAAATCTTCTGCACTCATTATAAACAATGAAATTCGAATTTTCAACACCAACGTTAAGTCAGTCGGTGCTTTAATATGAGCCAGGAATTTGCACTGCGCGTCACGGAAAGCATTTCCAATAGGCTACTGGAGACTTTCATCAATAGCTAACTTCACTGTCTCCTTGCTGAAAATAAGATGGCCAGAAAGGATTAGCAACACGAAACTCTGGAAACGAACCAATCAACAACCTTCTGCTCAGCAAATAGCCCGAAAAGAATGGAGATAGACAGGATACATGCTGAGGAGACCAGTGAGTGGAACCCGAACTGGGAACGATGACACGGAAGAGGTCGTGTGAAGAGAAGATGAAACCTTATGATCATTCATAGGAACAGCTTAAGATAAGTGCAGAGAAGAGGACAAAATGAAGATATGGCGTTAAGTCCCTATGTTTCACTCAGAATCCAAAGAAAACAGATGATATCTTAAAGAAAATAAAGCAAATTGAATGTTATACAAATACTTACTTTTACTTGACTTTCTGACATTCCTAGAAAGTAGGCTAAACGAGCTCTTTCAGGACCAGCTAGGTATTTTGTTTGTTCAAATGTTTTCTCAAGTGCAAATATTTGTTGTCCTGAAAATGTTGGACGTGTATGCTTCTTTTTTGTGTCTTTATCTAAATTAAGGGTGCCTTCTGGAGAGAAAAAACAGAAAAAAAAGAGAAAAGAACAAACTGTTATTCACAAAATTATCATTATTGTCTTAGTAGTCTATCATTAAGAATGTTAAACAAGGTATAGGCCTTTTATTGGTTGTCAGCTCATAATGAAATCCTCCAACCAATCAAACAAAATTCCGTACAAAACCAATACCTAAAAATATAGGCTTTTTAGTTTAAAACCAGAAGTGTAAGACGTTTAGAAGCAGTCGAGACATTCACAGTTATTCGTTAACTGATGTCATTTTGCATCCTAAATTGAAAACGATCAAGCCTCCAACACTTGAAAATCAAGCCAGTGTTCACTCCTGAAGTTCTAGTGAAGAGTTGGGACCTCCACCAAGTCGGGCGTGAGGGAAAATAGCCACTGATAACTTTAGCTGGACTCTGTCGCTCATGGGGCTGGATGGTTGACGTGATGGCATCGTAAACTGAAGCTTCTGGATTCCACCTCTGGTGGGGACTGCTGAAATTGCTCCAAGATTGAAAAAAATGCTCTTCAATACTCCCTGTTTTTTGAATGATTCTCTAACTGATTGGAGTTCTTGTTCTTTGATTCAAACCAATGCAAATCCTAGGGCTTCTTGGACGAATACGTCTACATTACCAGGATTAATATCTGCAGGCAGTTACTTGTTTTGACCGTGGCTAGCAGCAGAATTCAGGACTTATCATCTGATTAGGAAAACTAAAAAATTTTACCAGTTAAATTATTCAGAAAGTGGAATTTAATTCTGAGAGGTATTTTTTATCATTTTAAATAAAAGAACTTTTAAGGAACTATAATGAGCAGAAACTTATGGAAGAAAGAGTAATAAAGTGGACAAACATAAGGACATAATGAATCTGAGAGATTCCAAAGGACAAATGTATCTGGGCCCTATCATCCACAATCTTCAGCCATTGGTTCTTTGAATCCTGTGAATCATACCAATCAGTTGGTCTATATCTCTCTGAGTAATTGGCTCAAACCAAGTGTCAAATGAATTCATTGACTGATGCTGTGTTTTGGTTTGGCCATCGTTAACGTTTTTCTAACTTAATCCTACATCAGCAAACAGCTGTCTCATCCCAGTTAGGGACCTTTCAAAAGTGTATACCCAGCGGCGTTCGAATCCAGAACTTTCTGTTCACAAAGCAAGCTCATAGACCATTTAACCACAATGAATACTCGAGGCAGCTGAAGAATGCTTCATGTGTAATATTTGTTTGGCATGATAACTTTTTTAGCAAAATGAGACGCTTTAGATGTTAAAAACTTCAAATTGACGGAACTAGTTATCAGGTGAATAGATGAATGATAACTTCCTATGCCTGTGTAGCGTGGTACAATAAGGAATAAGGCAAGAGTTAAATAAAATTCACAAATTTGATTTGTACACATCTCATCAGAAAGCTATGGAATTATTCTCTAGAACATCTAACACAATACATCACTTTATATTATATCAGGTTCTCTAATCTAGTAGGTTACATTGCAAAGCCTCCATTGCCTTTCTGGATACGACATCATTCAGCACACTAACTTCTGTATACGACCTTGCCTTGGAACTGGAAGGTCCTAGGTTCAAAACCCAGTGGGTTCGTACTGCTGATGAGTCCCAAACTAGGATGATATCAATCCGTGGTCTAACTCAAAAAACATGTTAATAATAATCCGAAGGTGATAAATATCATTCGAATGTTATTTGATGGGTCGGGACTAGCAGTGGAATCCACAGTATGCGCATTTTGTCCTGTTTTGGACTTGTCAGCTGAACATGACAGTGATAGTGTTACCACTGGGGCTCAAACTCAGTACCCTCCGTTCCAAGCTAAATAGTTTTCTATTACCCCAATAAAAATGGTTATTAAGTATGCGTATACACGCACTCATACACTTGATTTAATAAAAGTTAAGCACAATTACATCACACTGATAATTACTCGTAACAATTGAATAATTGTTATTGTTATTCAGGGTAATTTACACTTCCATTTAATGATTTATGTTGTTGTGATATCGGAAGATGTTAAAAAAAACACGCACAGAGTGTAGATATCATGATTGTTAGCTGTTAGCTGTTTTTGGTGATAATAGTCGTACACCGAAAGTTAGACAATAACCGATTTAATTGACTATGATGTCTGTGTACTGATAAGAAAAAATGAATCCCATAAAATTTAATTATAGCTAATAAACACATTCATAACAATTATTATTATTATTATTACTATTAAATACGTTTATAAACAGAACTTTATGAGGTGTTTATTAGGCTTCTAAAATTAGTTGTCTTAGGTAACTAGTGATATGCATATATGTATGTATTTGCGCATACCCTAAAAAACTCTGTCTATAACAAATTTGATCACAGATTATTGTCATCTAGAGGACTACTGGGAACCAGGGAGTACTGGATAGACTAGCCAGTGACTGTTTATAAGCATGCAACCCTCCAGCGGTCAAATCCAAGACATTCCTGTTACAAAGCAAGCTCCAGGACCATTCAGACACTGGGACCTAGTCTAATGGCCTGTGAATTTCAGCTCCTACCAATTCGTGATTTTGGCCTAACCAGTAAGTGGCCAGTTTCAGTGGCGAGTAATTGTCCTCACTCCCAGCCGGGGGATCTCTGATGTCAAGACTTTTGACGAGAACTCCAGGCAAATTCATCGTGTAGCGAGCATAAGATTAATTTTCAACAGTTAGTTCGAAGGAGTTTGTTTGATTTTAGGTGTGATCACAGGTTGATGTTGTCAGTTAGAGAACCATTGAAAACCAGTAGGGAGTACTAGACAGCTGTACCAGTTCGGAACTCATCTGCAGTTCACACCCACTGGGGTTTCAACCCCTGTGCCCTCTAGTTACAATTCAACCTCGTACACCATTCGCCCACAGAGATCCGATACAATGACCCATGAGTTTCAGCCTCTACCAATTCGTGATCTTAGCATGACCGCCAGTCAGTCCTTACACCCAGCTTGATGGATCCCACTGGTCACAATTTCTTCTTAAAAAATCCAGGCAACTTCATTCTGTAGCTGGTCATTAGTCGTAAGACAAAAAAAGAACAAAGTTTGAGGGTCTGGTTTGTAAACTGCTCAGCTACAGAAGGTGGATATATAAGTTGTCACCGAAAATCGAATTTACCGACTTATCCATTTCCTTCTGATTGATGCGATCCAGCAGCAGAGACAGTCAAATAAAATTTGCATTTCCGCAGATGCTTGGTCTTATTCCATGATTTTGTATTACGTTTTCTAAGGAATTCTTTAATTTTCAAGTATTAGTTTTGTAGGGTTTTTTGTTTGATTGGTTGGAGGATTTCATTATGAACTGACATTAGTTAGAGAGCAGCCAGAAGGTCCTGGGTTCGATCATGGTGGATGCCTAATGCTGAGAAGTCTCACACTAGGACGAAACGGTTGTCCAGTACTCACAGGTTTTCCAATGGTTTTCTGACCGATGTCAGCTCACGATGAAATCATCCAACAAATATGATTTAGACTTATCATCAGAGTATTAACAATATTTTTAGAATACCTCATAAATATCCAAATATATTACTTTATAGTACGACACCGATGGTAACCAATTTCATGTGTCTAATCCCTTGTGATGACAGAATTCTATCAATCAGTTTTCCATGTAATCATAAATTTAGCAGACTGATCATCGCTATGTTCTTTGTGAATTTGGGCTCCATGCTTATTGAGAATCATTAGCAAGTAGTAGCTATAACCTCTTAGGAACTTATATCATGTATAACATTAGAACTTGCGTCAGTGCTAACCGTCACAGTCCTACAGGAATTCAGTCGTTGGGCTAAATAGGTCACTGGTAACGTCCTTGTCTGTAACACGGTATAGTGGGACTTCTAGTAATAACAAAGAATGAATATCAGTCGCCTCGTGGGATCGATCCCCAGTGGGTGCGCACAGTGGAAGAGTCTCAAATTAGGACAAAACAGCTGTCCATAACTCCCTGCTGGCTTCTCAATGGTTCTCATTATTAATGCCAACCCATAGTGAAACCTGTACCAATCGCCAATAAGCAGAAAACCTCGGTTTATACGTTTCTATCTGTTGCCTATAACCATATGTTCTAGCATATGTACTCTACATAATATTAACGTGTACATCATATAATTTATATATATATACACATTATATATCATTTCAGCCATTTTTTTTGAATAATATGGTATATTCTGAACTTTAAGTTTCTCCATTAAACTTTGAGGACAGAATCTCATCTATCATCTGTCCGCCTCCTCCTCCTTCATCTCCTCCTCTAAATCTTCTCATAACAATCTCATTATTGTCATCATTATTCTCACTTAATCCTCTCTATTTTCTGTATACTTTTTGTTACGACACTGGAATATTTTGGATGAGAAAGAGAGTCTTCAGCAAACTGTGAAACACACTCATGCACCACCTAACCTAACCCAACCCACCCCATCCAACTGGCTTTCATTCATGTTTTCCTGTCCTGTCTTTGTTTTCTTCTTCGCCGTTTAGAAATCTTCACTTCTGCATAAATACAATATACACTTGATGCCTAATTTGTATGTATATATATACCATACATTATATCTCATCATGTTAATGAGATGAAAGGCAGTCAAAGTGGTTTAAGAGGAATGATTGCATGTTGTCATTATTATTATTGCTGCTGCTATTATTATTCTTATTATTATAATATTATAACAATGATTATGTTGATGATAATCGGTTATTTATTTATGAGAAGAAAAATCATCTCATCTTATCCACTTTAGTTTAATTTTCAACTATCTATCTTAGCGATATTGAGAACTTTTATTATTGGTCTACGCAGGCTGTCATTTCACTTTGAGCGGATTGTTCACACACATTCATTTAAAAATTAGTATTTATGTCTATTTTTATGCCTAAAATAGGGAAAGGAAAGGAAATTTCCCCTTTAGCTTTTTTCTCTTTTAATAAATAGTTATAAGAAAACAACTGGA